GCTAATATATCATATCCTATGTACGTCCTCGTTGCATCGGCAATTTCCACGGAATATTCTACATGGCAAATGTATTCGAGGAGTGGGAATGCATGATTTCTGCGTCCCGAAGACGACATCGACGATTACGCCCTCGACCGTCAGTTTTTCGTTGGCGAATACCCGATCTTGTATTGATGGCTTATCTTTTTCTCGGAATCGGGTGAGAGAGTTGATGTGGCCATACAACGGGAAACTAGAGCCAAACTCTTGTGAACCCGCCTTAAACTTTTCTCCATGGGCGGCTTGGGATTCCAGAGCGGGGATGTTGAAATCGCCAGTAATACGAAGGTGACCGTACTTCTTGTTTACCACCTGCCTTAGTTCGGATGCCAGAATGAAGTCCATCTCGGGCGTGGAGGAAGACGAGCGGTGAATGACCACCACAAAGCAGGTGTCGTTGCCTTACAAGCGTAGACGACACCATCTGGCATTCTGTACCGTACTGATTGGATCCTCTATGGGTTAACATTTGCGATCACTGCTGAAGTACGGAGCCACCCCTCCACTTTTGCTGGGTCGATCGTGCCGAACAACGGACATGCCTGGCAGTGCGATCTCGAGGTCACTTAATTCGGATCGTAACCATGTCTCCGTTATAGCAATGAGGTCACAAGCCTTTGCTCCTTGCCGCAGCCGCATCTTGGAAAGTTTACTCAGTAAGCCTTGAGCGTTAGTGTACATACAGGTAAGCTCCTTAGATGTCAAAATCTCTTGAAGGTTGCGGATTTGTGTCGATCGATGAGACGCCGGCACCTGATCGCTTTTGCGTGACTTGCCACATCTCTATGCCAGTGCAATCTGACTTTGGTCTCACCAGCACCTGCAGTATGTATTTCCTCGGTATCATTCACGATAGCTACGTTTCGGTGTGCAGTTTTCTGAACTGCTGTTATTATTATATTGAGTCACGTGTAGTGTCGTTTCCGCGAGGACGGCGGGTGGCTGTGATTTTCTAACTGCTATCTTCAACCGTGGTTCCGAAGGAAGTATGTAGCGTAATATCTGCCAGCTGCAGATTAACTTCGCCGCCATTTGTTGTGACTGTACCATTAGTTTCAGTATCCTCGGGCCACTGCCTTTGTAGTGTAGAGACCCAGGCACCAATGTAATCGACTGAAGTATGACGTCGCCAGCACAGAGATCTTCACGGATATAACGCCATTATTCCAGGTCGTGAGCATGGGCTTCTTCGTCGCTAGATGCCGGTAGCTCGGATACGCCATGACTGAAAATGACTCTTTTGGTTCTTGTTATAGTAACCGTTTGAAGCATTTTTGTCTCGCTGTTGTTCGCTCCATGGAACATCCGGAAATATACGGATCCCACTGTCTTCAGTCCGCAGGCGGTATGCCGACAAAAGCACCATCTCGACATCATCTGTGGATTCCGATGTTACTCGCGTTAACCCCCTTAGGGGGTTTGTCATGGACTCAGGAACGTTGTTGCGTAGTTCCGCCTGATCTTCGATGATGCGAGAGGCATGGTTATCGAGGGTGTTGGTGACATCTCTGCAGGTTCCACCCGGTCCTTGACCCATTTTATGGTTGTACCAGGTGATGTTACTGAGGTCGCATTTTGATTATGGCGAGCAGCAATGGTTGCATAAGTGGATCGGTCTTTAGAGCACTTCTGATTTCGTTGGTCAATCGGAAGGGTGGATGTTGTCGATATTGCATCAGTCGATATATTGGATAAGAGAATGTGGGCGGTGGAGCTAGGCGTGCTTCTATTGTTCGCGACGATAACTTGGTTCGTGGTTCCCAAGGTTTCTAGTACAGTGTGGCCGTGCGAATGTCTGGCCCTTTTTCTTGGTTTCAAAGTAGCAATTAGGGGAGACGGATGAGATGTAAGCTGCGCGATTGTCGCCTCGAGCGAAGCAATGTTTACATTTAGACCATGTTCAGTTTCGATGACCAGATTGTCGCACTTCCGTGGTTATGCTAGTATGCATTTTGCAAGTGGAACTGCTGTTCACTTAGGACAGAACCAAACTGAGCCCGGCGTATTAGGTTCCTTTAATTCGACAGACTGTGGTACTGGCTAATGCAATGTATACATATCAAGCCTACTTTTACTACCTTGGCACTTGTTTGTTTAGCACAATATACTTCGTTTCGGGTTACCGGTGTTGTGGCCGTGTTGGCCGAATGGTCGTTGCTGTGCTTGCGGGTACGTGGCGCGTCTCCGTCGCTTAGCGTTTGGTCGCGGATCATCAAGTCAAGGTCAAGTGACTGGGTCAACATGCTTTGTGTGTTACGTCCGTGAGTCATACGATCGCGGGTAAGGCGTCTGGTATAGGCAGTTATCGGTTTCTCTGTAGCTATAACACACGTTGATGGAATGAGACCAGTGAAAGCTAGATCTAAAAATGGGAGACTCCTCTATCGAAAGAGGATTTCGAGAGGTAAATATCCTGGGTGAATGGTTGAAACTGCGCGAGATTTCACCATTGATCAAGGGCGAACAATTGCCCAAATTTGTAAATCCGGTGGAAACAATCTTCGCTGTAAATTATTCCGGAGCAAATGATTTCCATAGATGGAGTTCCTCAAACCGAGACAAAAAAAGTGAAAATCCAGCAACGTGCAACAAATGGTCACGTAGAAAATGCGAAAATACATGGAGCGCCATTGGCAACGGTCACTTCGCCACGGCTGGTAAATGTTAAGATGGATGGTGGTAGGTGACACAAACTGGTTGTGAGTTCGAATGTTGAGGCAGATTGTAGCCTAACTTGCAGAACAACCTCCTTGTGTTGCAGCTTGGTGGTATTTTACTGTCCCTGTCGTGTGACTGGTTCTGGTGCAGTGTTCCAGACTATGCTTCCTTTGCGCATGGCAAGTGTTTTTCCTCTAAAAAGCACTACGACGTGGCGCATCTGACTCGGGAATATATTAAGGCACTGCCGCTTGCTTCACCCAGGTGGTGAAGAGTGTTCTAGTAACCTACTGCTGATTTCATGGGCATGATTCGGCAGCCAACCAAACGAAATGTGTATGAACTGAGTGATCGGTCACTAGCTCTTAATGGGTGTGATCCCCTGGCTTCACTTTGCTGCATTGAGAACAGGCTATTCAACTAAAGGCTCGGGATGAACTCCCCTAAGACCACTCCCTCCCTCGGCTTTTGCAACCGCGTAGTATCTCGCTCTCTGGCAGAACCATGGATTCCCCAAATACTAACACACCATTCAGTTCTGCTCCTGCCTTCTTCACTACTCTCGCACATGCACCACACGCCAAGCACCTCTTCGTTACTAGTTTTCGTTCCTTTGAATCTGCTTCCGATGCCCAGAGTCGAACCAGTAGCCCTCCTTCGACCCTGATCTTCGTTTCCGCTGGCAGCCTTCAACGTTCGAATCCTCATGCAGATCGGGTTCCTAGGATGGCCTATCGTACAAACTGGAGTCCTTCAATATCGATATGTGTTTCCTCTACGAGACTCGACTACAAGGCTGTAGCACCAACTACTACTTTCCCTTAACCAAATACGTACTTCGTTTGTTTAGCGAAACAGAAGCAGGTACAGCCAGGTTGGCTGGTATTAGCGTCTCATTGAGTGATAAAGCTGAAGCCCTACTGAGCTTCACAAGGTGGCGTCATACTTGACTGGGGTCGCTCAGTATTGGGTAAACTAACATGAGGTCTCCAAGTATCCGCCCGTAGCGTCAACTGAGCACAGCTTTGCGGTAGGCGGATCTGTGTCCGGAGAAGGTCGAAGGTAGCACTTGCAAGAGAATATTTCGGTCTTCTCCACTTATTACCACCACCAGCGGGTGTGTTGCTCAGTTGAATGTTGGCAATCAATTCATGATAGCAGACGTCTCATCACACTTGACCCATTTTGTTGTGCCCACTCTGCATCTAAATTGTGACCCAGCACTTCAGTTGCGATAACGGTTCACAGCGCAGTTTACCTTGGTCACCGCGATCACTAGGGCTTCATCTAAAGTGAGGTGGCGCTGTGCTGCAGTTCTAGATGCAAGCGAGACCGAAACTCCTTTGTCCCTACACTAATTGGCAAGCAAAAACATTTCGACTTTCTATAAAACCGGAGATTTTATGGCGGGTATTTTGATGACTTGCATACGTTTTTAATATATTTAAGGCTAAATATAGAACTGTACTTTTGATTACAGTGCGAACACGCAGAGGATATAACCGGTTCCACAAGGGTTTCACAGTCAAGAAGCTAGGTGCTAAAATCGGGGTAGGCCCTGGAGTAAGCTGGCACCAAAGCCGGTGGGAACATAAAAGTCAGTTTACTTGGTTTCGCTGTACTGTAACCATATTAATCAGGTATGGTACGTTACATGGCTAAACTACTGGTTCACTCATATGTCGACGTCAGTGTCATGAAGCTTGGGTGAGACCAGAGTTACTAATGAACACAAAACCCTGGGGGATGTAATTGTGTAGCCTCAGATGTGTTATATCGTAGCCTCCGCGAGAGCGCCTGAGCTAGCCACCTACATAAGTAATAACGCAGGGATTGGCCCATTCAGCTGCTTCCAATGTACCGAACGGAGCTTTTGTGCTGAATTACCGAAAAGCTCGTCTGATTCAAACAGGATATCTTCAGTGTACAATCTCTACTATTATATCTGGGATTCAGACGGCCAATTCTGTGTCCAACTTGAAAGCCCGGTTTGCCCGACAAGTAGTCAGCTTAATTTGCATAGACACAGTTTCACCGCGTATCTGAACCGTGGGCTTGATATGCATTACTATCAACTCCATGGGAGATGACTGCAATGAAACACGAGATATTGATCATTGGGAGTGATTTAGTGTTTTATTTGTTCTTTACATCACCCACACCTTACGTCGATCTCCAATTGCATGATCGCCTGTCATTTTTTGTCTCGCATTGTTTCGCCGTTTCCTACTTTTCGGGTATGATCCTCCCCAAAAACCTGCCAAAGTTGTGATAAAGTTGTTCATTGTCATCGGTGACAGGTAGCTGAGCTTAGTTCCAAAATCGAAGGTGGCGCCCACAACGCATCGTCGTCGCTGCAAAAGGCGCAGGAAGAAATCAGCAAACAGTTGAGGGATCTTGAGCGTGGGCTACTGCATCAGATTGCTGAGACTAACCAAGAACTGCATTCCACTAGATCTAACTGTCAAACAGAACGCCATAAACTGGACGAGAAGCTGTCAGATATCATTAGCTCTGCATTTTCTGAATTGGAAAAACGAGTGGTAAGTTTGTATTTTTAACTTACTGGTCCAACCAATGGTCATGAGACAGCCGGTTTTTCTCTTTGGCTTCATGAAACAAAGGAAGTTTACACTACTAATTCTCGATTTGATGCAACTTCTTCCAATACCACTGGATTTCTTGTTTCTTCTAAACTTTTAGGTATGGTGGAGAAACACAACCCTCTAGCATCATTTGTTTGAAGCGATGAATGAATGAGCATTACTCCCGAAATATCTTCAGTACTAGTTCATAAAGATATACGCAACCAATAAACACGGTAGAGGTAGTTGGTCTATGTCCGCTAACCGAAGATGGGCTCCCGATAAACAGTAGTGGATACGTGTAGGAGTCCTGGAATGTTGTACAAATTAAGTGAATTCCCCTAGATTTCGAACGAAAGCTCGGTTATCCCACCCTCACTTCAGCTCATTAGTTTGGAGCATTCTGATTCACTTCGGCTCATCGGTGGGCAGAACCAACAACCATGTTGAATGGAAAAAACCCATTGATTGATCAGAAGTCTGTGTAAGCGAACATATGTTTTCGGTAATTCTTCATCAGGCTTTTACAGTTACATAAAATGCAAACTGCTTGTATACAGACCCAACGGATCGTCAGTCAACCAAATTGATCCTAATGCGCTGTGACACGCCGTCCGTTAGGTTACATTTGTAGTCGTACGTGCGTACAGGTCAACTATAATAGGTCCTGGCCAAGGTAGGCTCAATGCGTGAGTGAACCTTTTTTGCGTGCACAGTGCTGATCCTGACGGCGGAACGGAAACCTATTTTCCTACAACTACCTTACAAAGGTGAAATAGTATCCGAGAATCTATCCCGCCGTCTCTCGTCCACACTCAGGAATACCTTCCCAGCGGCGAGGTTGCAAATTCGGTTCACCAGCTGCCCAATGGTGAGACTAAACCTCAAGGATAAGCTGCCTGTCCACACCAAATCAATGTGTGTATACTCCTTTACCTGTTCCTGTGGAGCAGGCTACGTTGGTCGTACGACAAGACGCTTATCCGAAAGGGTGAAGGAACATCATCCGGCCTGGCTCGGAAATGGAGGCCAAAAGGTCTCCAACGCTACCATCGCCACGCATCTTGCGGATACGGGTCACGCCACCAAGTCGGCTGGCTCGTTCAAAGTAATCTATCAGGCCCCAGAAAATCGAGCAAGGTATTAGACGCCGCAGAAGCCATAGCCATTCGGCTGTACGAAGCAGCACTATGCAAGCGGAAAAGGTTCACTCACGCATTGAGCCTACCGTGGCCAGGATCGACTGCAGTTGACCTGTACGCACGTATGACTACAACTGTAATCTAACCGACGGTGTGTCACCGCGCATTAGGATCAATTTGGTTGACTGACGACACGTTGGGTCTGTATACAGACATTTTGCATTTTATGTAACTGTAAAAGCCTGCTGAAGAATCACCGAAAACAACCATGTTGTCCGATGTATGAAAGAGAAGCAGTTAGCGTGAAGAACTTGAGGCATAAGGCTGTCAGCGGTGCGGCTGTTAACTATAAGGGACAACAGCAAAGCATGCACCTAAAAATCCACTGTGGCATCATGTTTTAGGTAACTTTACGTGGAAACTACGAATGGAATCTAGTTGAGATGAAGCACGGTAACTTTGGTATCATCCGTTCACAAACACACGTGTGATTTTTCGAATCAAAAAGGCTGGATGCTAGCGTTGACGAAACAAGTTATTTTGTACGATTATCCATGACTCAAAGGGAAAGCGGAGTTACGAAAAGTGATGGCAGATGCCAATTGACGTGCTGGTTCTATCTTTACTAGGTACTGTTATCAAGTTGGCGCCTAAATAAAAATAAACTGTCCTTCTGTAGTTAAAGGTTTGGTATCAGTATACCCAATTGAGCTTGAAAAGTACGATGGAACCATGTGACCAGATCACCTGCTGACTATGCACTTTCTCCAAAGACTCGCAAGCGCAGTAGGTTCTGTGACTCGGCGGGGCCCCAGCAAACAGAGATCACCTGTCTCGATACCCATGGAAATAGAAGGGTGTGCATTGGTTCGAAAGCTATATGGCACACGATAGAATGTCACTCTGGAGACTGGATATGATCATTTGCAGTTAGCTCAGGCTGTGTCCATCTGATGAGTCAGAACGAGGACGTGAGCACTTGTGGGGTGGGAAAGGTAACACCGAAGCCGCTTCAGCATGCTAGCACTTTGCTTCACTGCAGCTATCTGGGATTGAGTGGTTCTAGAGAAAGTAAAATCGGTGGGACTTCTTCGTTACCATTAGCTCAATAAAAGTCTTACTGAATGTTTGTCCTTAATTTCCATCGCCAGGCTCGAGCAGAATCAAAAGCAGAAGAGCTAAAAGTGGATGTGGAATTGACATCCAGAGTCGATGACGTCGAAAAAGAATCATCAAGATTCAAGCAACAGGTGCTCAAAACATTCAAGGCAAGTCACGTGTTGAAATTACTTGTGACTGAATAGGGAATGGAGATGACGGGTTTTTCCCTAAACTAAGCGTTTTTAATTGGGACAATTTTTCGTAGTTTAAAGGCATTACAGTGTATAATAGGTTGCCTAGCCTGGTGAAGCAACGTTTGGGAACTACTGAAATGTTTCAAAATCCACAGGCGGGTAACTAATTGGGTGTACACTGTCTCATTCATTTCTAAATAAAACAAATAAGTAACATTGTTACCAACGTGAGAAACCACGGCTCCGCCACATCAAACGTCTTTTGCAATGCAGTGTTCATTCTTTCCACGGAGAACTTCATGATATATTTCCCTTATCAAAGCAGCTCAACAATTTCAGCTTCTTTGGGCTTGGTGGTGTTCAACTTCACATGGTTATGTCACTGAGAATTTCCATGGCAGTCGGGCCGTGGTGTGTCTTTATACATTCTCTGCATGCTTGAAGTGTGTCTGTGATACAAAACCTGTACACACCATCCAAAATCGATGGACACATTCCAAGCCTATACGCAACCAGACTGGACCTATGAGGTCAGGATGGAGTGAATCGAGAAACTGGGTTGATCTAGCATTCAAAAGCACATAGCTGGGCACTGGATAGTAACTCAATCCCGACGAGTTATGCACCTTCCTAATGCGCAATCAGGAAGCGCGCATCCTCGGGGTATTAGAAGCCATCCTTATCGGAAGAGAGCGGCCACAGCCCTGGATACAGAAGCAACTGATTGCGACGATGCTGTTGGTTTCAGGAGTACTATCCGTATGGTCTGATCGAGACGAACAATCTCAGCTGGGACCATTAATTTGTAACGATGGCCTTCTAACCGTTGTGTCGAGCGCCACTCGCGGATCAGCGGCGTAATGAGCAAGACGTCAGTCGTTAACTACTACGTCCAGGGCACCAGCTTCGGCTATCACTGCTTGACAAAGGCAAACGAGCACGAGACCGATAGCTGAGTCCAGTGCGGGAACGAGCACCACCGGAACTCTTCAGCTCGAACTGTGGCTCTGAACTTACCATGGTAGCATAAAGCGACCAATTGTCCACTGCTTGGCCACCAATCGATCTTATACGACCTTTGGTGCCTACATGTCTATCCTGAGTTACATATTTGTGATTAAGGAGAATAAATCTAGGGACTACTTCACCTCACAGTTTGCTTGTTTTGATCTTACTAGAAATTTTAAAAGGAAATTCCTGTGCAAAATTTCGTCTATCATTTAGACACTAAAAGGCATACAGCTAAGCTACCACGTTCATTTTGAAAACTGGTGCACCAGTTCGTCATGACATTGCTAGATTATGAACCGTATTAGGTAGTGGATAAGTAGCCTCAGCAAGTATAGAGAATACTTGTAGCTCGGGGTGTGGATGAAAGGATTGTCCTGTTCTCCGAGCTGGGCATTTCGGTTGTAGACGTTTCGTTGCCAAATTAGGCAACATCTTCAGTGCGGCCATTCAGTCCTGATTCGCGGTCTCGCAAACCAATGTCAGATCCGAGTGACTATTGATTGTTGCCTGCTTCGAATGTCAGCCTTCGATCTGTTCACGTGAGTTGGTCGAGTGGGCACCTCTTCTCCTTGTCAATCTGGTGCCTAATGCCGACTTAACCTGCAGAGCACCAGGTCGACAAGGAGAAGAGGTGCCCACTCGACCAACTCACGTGAACAGATCGAAGGCTAACATTCGAAGCAGGCAACAATCAATAGTCACTCGGATCTGACATTGGTTTGCGAGACCTCGAATCAGGACTGAATAGCCGCAATGAAGATGTTGGCTAGTTTGGCAACGAAACGTCTGCAACCGAAATGCCCAGCTCGGCGAACAGGACAATCCTCTCAAGTAGCCTCAGAGTTGAGTAGATAGCTCATCTCCGGAATGAATACCAAATATCGTACTCCAGAAGCAAGTAGAAGTCTAGTTACGGACAATGAGACTGGACCTTACCGTGGTGCGATGGTTTGAGTGCCTTAGCGATCCATTGACCTATGCTGGATGGTGCTTTTGCACTTTTAAAGTCACTCATACCAGATTGGTCAATGGTTAGAGGCCAGACAAACTCAGCCTCCTGGTCCTCCAGGTTAGGGGTTGGAATGAGGGTTGCACCTTATTCCTTAAAACGGACTCCTTGTAGTCCAATGCCAAACCCGCTGCCTTGTGGTCAGGTTTTTGAACCAAAGACTTTGGTTGAGAACCCTAATCGTTCTCCTGTCTAGACCTGGGCAACCTGACGGTATCCTGTCCACGCAATACAATGAATCTTTCCTCAAACAAATTTCTGATGCTCTGGCCACCGCAGAGGATAATCAACGGCGCCCTATCTGCTACATCGAGCAGGGTGGATAGGGGTTTGGATGCTACTGCTCAAGCCTTCCCATCTTCTTATTCCACTTCTTGCGCTTGTTCACCCTTATCGTCCCGTTCCGGCTTCACTTTTATCCCCCCTGTTTTCAACCCCCCAATTCTCGGCCCTCTCTCAACATGCTTTGCTAGGTATTTATCTTCTAATTTCAACTCACGTTCAGTGCGGCTGTGGTGTCTGGCTAATGTTCAGTTCTCATAGCTGAACGGCTTGCGTTCCGTTTGTCTTGCACTGCGGTCGACATGACGTACTCATTGGGGCTGTGTTGTTTGGCTAACAGCCAGTTCTCACAGCCGAACGTGGTGTGTTCCCTTGTTCTTTCCATGCGATCCACACATAACAGGTCTATTGCGGGTGTGGAGTTTGCTAACATTCACTTCTCACAGCCGAATGGCTCGGTGTGTCCTGCGATCCTAGACACACATGTCGCGCCTGTATACCCTGTCTCACTCCTGCCGGCAAGGCAATTTGCTCCATTGGACAGTCAGCAATTCAACGTAACGGGGTACGTCAGCATCTGAGTGCAGCCGCTCCTACCTCCGAACAAGAATAATATAACAACTCGGATTACAGTGAATATTCTCCAGCGTTAAGGATATGGGCAATACCAGCACCGTACAATGAATGATGATTTATGCCGGGTAATACAGCAGTTGCTTGACAAGTCCCGCAGGATGGTGGGGTTGAAACTACAACTATCCAATGTTAGGTGAGTTGTCTGTTTGAGCCTTTATCTATCAGCTTCGCTGCCGAATGCTAATACTAGTAATAATAATAATAATATTGTGAGTGGTAATTGAATGCGAACAAGAAAACGTGGCAACAGTTATATTTGTTGTACTCCGCGAGGAAAATAAAAACGAGAATACTCACTTCTGTACCGCCTCCTCAGGTTTATGTGACATGTTGATCCGGTTTGAATGGATAATAAATGTATTCAAAGTAGCACAGTTTAGACAACGAAGTGATAGGGGCCAAGAGCAAGATCCAATCGTTTTTCGAAAATACCCAAGGTATGGGATGCAACAACGACGTTTGGAAGAGAGTTCCAGGGTTGGCAAACCCTAAGAGAAGGAGAATTCCGCCAGCGCTCTAGACGGCTATACGGTACACACCATTTCAGGGGGTTACCTCTGCGATTGGTGTTATGACTGAGTTTTAGCAACTGACGGCATACTTGATTAGGGTCACACAACATTTGGTAGACTAATATGAGGTCGCCGCGCAGCCTTCGGTAGCGGCCACTAAAAACTCCCAGTTACTTTAGTCTCTGATGGTAGGACAGTTTCGCAGGCGCTTTACGTTTTTTGCTGCCCTGTGTTGTGGTTTCTCTATCACTTCTAACTCGCGCTTCAACTAGGGTTGCCAAACTTGAATTGCGTATTCAAGGTGAGGGCGCACGTAAGAATTGTGCATCATGGGGACGATGGATGGGTCGAATCTTTCGAATGCTCTCTGCAGCAAGCCGACGTGCTTGTTGGCTATCTTCGCATCTACCTCTGATTGATTTTTACAGTTAAAAGTTAAGGTCACTTTGAATCAACACAGCGAGGTCACGTACTTGGTAAGCTTTTTGCAATACATGTGACCCAAGCCTATACACGTGGTCAACCCTATGACGCAATTGAACCCCGTGATATTTTTCCACATTGAACGCTAGTGTATTCAGAACTGACCAGTTTGAAATCGTGTTTGAGGTCACGCTGGAGCTTTTCGTGGTCGTTCGGTGATCGCTCGCCAGAACTTTATATCATTCGCGAAGAATAGGAAATCGGAAGTAATTTCCCTCGCCAGACCGTTTATGAAAATCGAAAGTAACTGGGGCTGGAGCACCAATCCTTTAGTACACCGCACTCCACCTCAATTGCATCGGACGGGGATTCTCACACTCTCAGTTCCAACCGACATTCGTGCAGGAAATTGCCTACCCAACGCAGCAGTGGGTCACCGACGCCATAGAGCTAAATTTCATAGAGGAGAATTCGGTGGTCTAAGCGATCAAACGCTTTTGAGGAGCCCAGGTAAATGACATCGACTCCTGGTCCATCATCAACTGCTTCAGTGCAGCTATGCATTGCAATTAGCAGGTTCGTAGTGCATGGGCCTATTTGTCAGAATCCATGTTGCTCTGGTGCTATCCTGTTGTGATTTTCCAGATACTACAGGAGTGTATCAGGGCTGATAGACTCCATAATCTTGGAAAGCACAGGGGAGTCGCGTTATGGGACGATAATTGATTGGGTCAATGCGACTACCTCCCTTATGCATAAGAGTGATGACCCCTCGCTTCCATATTGTTGGAATATGGTTCTCCTCCATACAGCGCTGATTGGATATAGCCAAAGGTTCCACCAGATCACTGACTGCTTCCTGTAAAGCGTTCGGTCGAATGTTTTCGACACCAGGAGATCTGTGGATATGCAGGGACAACAGTTTCTTTGACACACTTTCTTCAATACAAGTACTATTGGATAAAACTGATGGTGTGACAATAGAAACAGGGATAACCGTTGGGTCCGTTACTCTCTGGACCGTTTGTGATTAATGGAACCGTAAGTGATCGGCTGCTTTCGTGGCTGATCGCGTGCACCTGTACCCAGTATATGAAGCCTAGATTAAGTAAGTCGCACGAGACAAGAATGGAAAACTGCAGACCATTACGCTTAAAGTTTAGACTTGGTCTGGATAGAGGAATTTTAACCTACCTTCCTGCTACCGTGTTTATTTACTTAAAATTAAAATCAGTAGACAACCGAACTGAAATAGAGCTGACACAGGAAAACATGGGGTGGGGTGCAGAAGTGTCACAGCCTAGGAGTTCGCTAATTGTCAGTCTGTCAGGTTACATATTTGACCTTTAGTAGTCAAGGAAATGCTAAGTGTGGAAGTAAAAGTGTCAAATGTTTATTAATACAAATGTTCAGCGCACACATGTGCAAAATTGTGTACGAGAATGGGGGAAGTGTTTGGGAATAGGGATACGGCCTTAATAGACAGTCCAGTTTGGAAGGGAAACATAGTTCTATTTGGACATGACAGGCACCATGCAATGCTTACTGGGTGACACTGATTCGTTACTTATCATCACCATCACCACTTATCATCACAAAATATCGCTTACAAGAGAGTTAAAATCAAGTGTTCAAACAGTTTACGAAGCAGCTGGAACACCGAGTAAGATTGTTGGAAGGAGTAATACAAACTGGTACTCTTGGTCTATAGGGAGGTTTTGTTAACTACTTAGCATTCGTTCCGAAGTAAGTGGTAGCTCCGTACTGTACATGTGGGAAGAAGAGAGATGAAAGGAAGAAGACACGTAACATGAATAAGAAACACATGGGACGAGATTTTGGGGTCGGTTGGTATCATTCTACTACCTATTCCTAGAACCGACTTTGGTCAAGTCTGCTTATATATGACCTCGTACTCAACCATCTGTTCCCCAGCTTGGTTAGGCAGATGGGGATTTGTCTGAAGCACTCTAGCTAGACCCTTTGGAGATGCAGTCTTTACCACAAGGCAGTGAGAAACATGTCCAACTCAGGAGCATGAGTACACAGCCCCACTGAAAACCCATTGAAGCTGATCACGCGCAGTCCTAAATGGTTTAGCAAATTCAGGTGTTTCCCCACCCCAATAGTTTGCGTGCCTTATGTCACAGTCAACATGTCAGTTGAGCTTATTTCTGCCGACACTGGCTGCCGTGTGGCGGGCGATAGCAAGCCATGTGCTATTGTGGTTCAGTCACTTCGCTGGAAACAACCCATGGTAATAGTGTTCTATGCTAAAGACAGGCTTGTAGCACATACACTGTCAGCTGCAACGGCTTGGTTTTGGTTGAAGTGTCATTGATCTATCTCTAGTCTCGAAATGTAAAGTATATTGAGGATAATTGCTTGACCCCTGTCTATTGACCTAAGTTGTATGACCGGATGAAGACAGTAAGCCTGACTTGATAGATGCCCCTTTACTATGAGATTCAATCCTCTCTCTGTCCTACTCATATAACTAACTGTAACCATCTACCAATCGGTTGGTTTAATATAATTGGACTCCAATTCGTTCATCTTCCTTTGGGTTCTCTTCCATTCCGATAAATTTCTCATTGTCAGTCCAGTGAAATAGCAATAGGCAGTCTTTGAGGCCTTACATGGAGCAATTTCTTCAGTATCATTCCCAAATTATGTGAATTAGAGAAAAGTTGTGATGTTATTCATATAAATCACAAGTATATAAACCAAAACTAAGTTTACCGTAATAGAGTACTTCAGTGGTGACCTAGCGGCACACATTTCACCATCTTCGTGACGTTGACATTAGTGACGATAAATTGCCGGCAGACAAGAGGACTCCTTGATACTGACTACGTCAGATGCCTACTCTGTCGACAGTTTCGCAGAATGTACACACTTGTCGGCTCGAACATTGGCGGGTTAACAAAAGAGATGAATGGCATTTCTCACGACCGCATGAGGCTCCCGGTTTATGCTGCCGTGAGCGCATTCTTTGAGTTTAAGTACGGACGAATCGCACCCAACGCTAGTAACATTCATCGTATCTATGTTCCTGATCAAATGTAAGATGAACGCGGGTTGCCCATAGAATACGCTTATGGTGATGAAACAACAAAGGCCACTGTGTATTGTGGCCGGTAACGTTAAGTATGACAGAACAACGACTGTGAACTGTGTGTATCCCTGTTTATTCGAATCCACAACTATACTTTTGTGTCTAGCACATGTACAGCAACACGTGTTATCTATTGATGTGCACCTGACGGGAAAATTACATTCGTTTTGTCTTTAGTTCGAGCAGGATGGTGGAAAAGTGGATTAAGTGCCTCAGCATAGTATTGGGGATTCCGAAATGGATTGTATGTCAACTCTAAGAGCTGGCAGTCCGGAATCAAGTTTGGAATCTTCGCGATCAAACACACACTGTGGCGTTTAACCTCAATGAGTGCACTGAGACCTCCAGTTTGGGAGACGATTTAGATAATTTAACAAAGGCTGCGATATTCATAGCAATCTGTTTCCAGTTAACATAAAAATGGTCGCAGAAGGCAAAACCATGAGAAGAACAAAACAAACTGCTGTGGTATGATTCTGTGTACAGATGCTACTGTTTGATGGCATTGATGCAGAATCCTCCCTGTAGTGTATGTCTTAGTACTCTTCCTCACTTGTTAATGGGGTGGACCTCAGGTAGCAAAAGCCGAGCAGCAAATAATGCAACAGGCTTGGTCGAACACGCTGTCACTTATTGATGAAGCTTCGAACTGCCCACATTTTCGAACGTTTGACCAAAGAAATTTCTCCGTTTAACACAACTTTCTGTTCATTACTGTCCATTGGCTGCCATTTTCAGGATTTGGAAGTGCGGATTAATCAAGTGTCTGACGAGATATTGGAACATAACCGAAGGATTACTGACCCTATTCGGGAAGAAATGCGCAAAGGATTATCCAACACTCATGACGCAATCGCTCATGTGAAATCAGTGCTGGAGAGTAAAATTAGAATTACGGAGGAGAATCTGCAGCAGGAATTGGGACAGCTGCGTAAAATAGTTTCCTTGTCATAACCAACTTGCATAATGTTAACTGCAAAAAGCCCCAGCAATTTTTCCAGATTTTGCGTCGGCCACACAGTGGCCTATCACACTGCCTTGCACCGCAGTTACATAAACATCGAATAGCATGTTTCCTATTTTTTCTTTCTCATTTTAACTCTGTTGCACTCAACTCCGCGGTGTGATTGTCGAAGTGACTGTGATCCACAGCGCTCAGCCGCTGTTTACTTTAGCTGTCTCACTTGCCGACACTGTCATAAATACATACCCTTCTTAATGCATTATCTTCCCTTGTCATTGCCTTCGATCTCAGATACCCGACCCCATCAGATGCCTCAATGCTAATCCCTACTTGCTGGGTGGTCACCTCGCGGAAGAACAGCACACATGGTTGTGAGGGCCATGATTGGTCGAAATCTGTATCATAGTGGGGTGTTTTAACTACGGTTTGTCACGATCAAAAGGCCGACGCCTAACAAACCATCACCGTTGGTGGGTTTTTGAGCACGAACCATATGTCAGCATTGCGCAACGCAATCTTAGTTGGGTCCACGTTTTACGTGAAGTTAAATCTATGCCTTCCTATTACTGAGGCTGCATCCGAAGTAGAGCTTCCGTGTCACTGTTATCATTACCATCATGAACAACACCGATGAGCCAGTTAGTTAGGATATTAGTTCGCTGCCCTTCACCCCAAATGGCCCAATTAATGAAGGGCATTGAGAAAGACAGTGAACTTATTCTACATAATGCATTTTTTCACTAAAAAATACACCTTGTTCTTACATCGGCGAGTAATTCGTTCATCCAGCATTTTCCTTGGTACGTGTGCTCCACGCAGAGATTTCTTTCGTAAAATGCTCATATGCAGCTCAACAACCAGTGAGGAATTAGAAAAACCTTACTTCGGCATCAACCCGAACTGTGGGAGCCCTGCTTCAGTGTCGGTTCCTTACTTTGTTACTGAGGAACTTGAATCTCATACATTTTCGTAACTGCCGAAATGAAGACCGCTTTTTCGGACGCTGGTGCATGAGGAAACAATGAGGACACGCGCACATTAAAACTGGCAAACAACTGTACCGTAATTAGGGGCACATTAAGGAATTGTTTAAGGCATTCAGGAGTGGTTGGCTTCTGGCTGCGTCTAAAGCGTGCTACTGAACTGATGAGATTCAACGGTACCACGTACAAAAGCATGTTCTACAACAAATGTCCTATGAACTGTTGTTAGATTCGGAGTCCTGCCGTATCATCTCTGCATGGCGACTGGCAACCTCAACTGGGGCTCCGGTTTACTTTAAAGGGTAACCTGTACCACGGTAACCGACCCCGAGGTGGAGAATTTCGTTACTGTGCTCATGGTGGTGTTGGACGACAACAGTACAGAAACTCTCCACTTTGGATCCCTTCCAGTGATTAAAGTGCAGAGATTTACTGCTACGTAAGTCGTGGTGTCAATCGAGATTACGTGTCGGAATTCATAAACACGACGAGCACTCCAAAACCTAGCAGCGAACTTCTAGCCACTGCGTCGAACGCTGCTGGCAGAGCTCCACGACCGAATGACAAAGGCTTGAGCCGTCAATCACTGTGTGCCTTATTCCACTACTAACTCAGGCGATTTCTGACTGAAGTGTCCATACCATGACCAAAACATTCGTTGAGTGCGGTATTGAGAGAGCTGCACCGGAACTCGCCACTTGGAGCATTTGAATAGAAAGCTTATGACAGTTAGGTAGAGAATCGAACGCTTTACAGGCAAACATGCTATTAGACCAGGAGTGCATGTGCTCGACTGACGGCGTAGAGTCGGCGCTTTTTTGCATAAACGAAGCTTATCCTAGCCCCAAAACGGGCAGTTTTTTGTTCGGCATATCACATCGTGTGGGCCACAAACCTAGACAGGCGAAATGAGACGTGATTATGGGAAGTATAAAGTGAAAAACCGCCATGCTTGAATATCTGTTCAAATTTATGTGTGCTATAAGTGATACCGCATTTAAGGCTTGACGGATTTGTGATCGCAGTCCATAGTTTGCTTTCACTTTTTGTGAGTAACACGACAAAGTGCATTGTAATATTGCCACTAACACGGCAACACTATGGCATAGATGAGTCGTTGTTAGATTGAGAAGGCAGGTGGCGCATTGTGCTGCTGAAATGGTTCAGTCTTGGTAATACCCCAGCCCATGTCCAGCCATCACATTGTGATTCCTTCAGCCACCAGCTGAAGGGATGTCGTGTAAGCATTGTAACCCAAGGGTCACTGGTCCGATTCTCCGTAGTTACTAGCCATCTCGCATTACCCTTAGCCCGCGCGTGACTCTTGGTGTGTTTGCTTGACAGCGGAGCTTCGGTGCGGCGCAGCGACATACTGCTGGTGCTTTTCTCTTGCATGCTGTAATTCGCTAGTGGCGTTTGATCGTGATTTCATATGTAGTTCTATCCGTATTCAGTTTCAATTTGCCATCCCGTGATTCACCGCGGCGCTTCTCACTGGTGGTGTCTCGGTCCACATCCATAGTACTGGGCGAAGGAGGATTCAAAACATGTCTGTTCTTCGTAACTTGTTAGTCATCTAACCGGCTAATCATTGTTCTCTCATGTACGCTTTCTTTCATCTGGTTAATGCAAGGCGGACGGTCAACACCAGAGTACGTCAGTTCAACAATTACCGCTGCCTTAGCATTACTGCCTTTGGTTAGAAGAACAAGCTGTAAAGCTATTTGACCGTTGAATGCATCTTTACTTACAGTTCTGTTGTGAGAAACTGCTGACGGCTACTTCACTCTTTGGCACAAGATGAGCATTCCGAAATGGAAATCACCGGTACAGTTTCTTGTCCTTACTTTCTACTGCATCCACATTAATTACAAAAATGCAAAACCGTATTGCCACCGTTTTTAGGATATCCGAAGGAATTCGATAGCCTCAGTCCATCGTTACTATTCGGACCAGGCTGTGCTAGGTTGCTTGTGAGCTGCTTGGAGGAAAAGATTAATATTACAATTAAAAATCCTTCGAAAAAGATGTCGCCCCAAAATCCACGTGTTCTAATGTGGGGCTGTCACAACGGTTTTACACGCCTCGAGAATTTTGTGCTAAAAGATCTGTACTATTAATCCACTGTGATGCTTTGTATGAATACTGATTTATCATGAGTACAAAGGCAAGTGGTTGACAAGTCCCGTGGGATGGTTGGAGTGAAAACTACAAAATCAAGAGATATGTGGGATTCATCTGTTTAAGCGTCCATAGAGTTAACCGTGTTGCTAACTAATGGAAGTGTAAAGTACAAAATGAATACTGGCATACAGAACAACATGGGTTGCAGTGCTAATTGAGACAAAGTGTGAAAAACAAAAAAAACAAGCTTGCTCACTCGCGGACCGCCTTCTTGGGTTCATGTGACACATAAATCCGGTATGAGGGCATGATAAAGGTATTCCACAGTAATACAGGTTAGGTAGCAAAGTGCTGGAAGCAAAGAGCAACATCCGATTGTTTTTGGAAATGTCCAAATTAAGGGAGGATACCACTGAGTTCGACAGAGGGTTTCACGGTTGGCAAACCCTAAAAGCAAACTCGTTCCGTCGGCATTGCAGACGGCGGTATTGTTCACCCAGTTTCAAGCAGTTACCTATGAGGTTGGTGTTGTGGTTAAGCTTCAGCAAGTGTCGGCATGTGTGGTTGGGCTCACTCACTATTTGGTACACTAATATGCGATCGCCTTGCGACCTTCGGTAGCGTCCACTGAAAACTCCGAATGTATTCAGCCATTGATGGTAACAGTAATTGCGTAAGCCCTTGACACTCTTTGTTGCCATGCGTTGCGGTCCCTCTAACACCTCGAGATCACGTTTCAACCAAGCTTGCCAAGATTGCATAGCATATTCAACGTGAGGGTGCGTGTAAGCTTTGTGTATCATCGGAAATTAGTCGGTCAAAGCTCGTGAATGCGATTCGTAGCAGGCCGATGTGCTGGTGGCATCTTTTCGTAGTTGCCTCAGACTGTTATGAACAGCTGAGGTCACTCTACACTAGCACACCACGGTCAGGTTCCTGGGAGCTGGTCTGCAATCCGTGTGCCCCAATCCAATACGTGTGGCCATGTCTATGGCGTAGTTGAACAACGCGACATTTGTCTACATTGGATGGTAGGGCATTTTGAAGTGCCCAGTTTGTAATCGTGTTAAAATCCCACTGGAATCCTTCGTCTGGTCCTCTGATCACTCACCATATCTTGATATCATCTGCAAGAAATAGGAAATCGGAAGCAATTGATCTGGCTAGATCGTTTATGAAAACCTTTTGGTACACCGCACTCCACATCATTTGCATCGGGCAATGTTTCCCGTAGTCTCACCTCCAACTGACGTTCATGTAGAAAATTGTTTACCCAACTCAGCATTGGGTTGTCAAAGCCGTAGTTCTGAAACGTCTAAAGGAGAATTCGATGGTATAAGCGAGCACACGCTTTTGGCAATTCCAGGTACATGACATCGACTGCTACTCCACCATCAACCAATTCAATCCAGCTATGGTGTGCATTTAATAGGTTAGTAGTTCATAAGTGCTTTTGACGGAATCCATGTGGCTTCGGTGCTATTAAGCTGTGATTTTCCAGTTACTGCATCAGCATATCTGCGGTGACTAATTCCATAAAGTTGGAAAGCACACGAAGCAGCTTTACAGCACCAGTACGAATACCTCCCTTAGTATTAGGAGTGATGACCCCTCGTTTCCATACTAGTGGAATATGGTTCTCCTCTCGACATCGCTGATAGAAAATGGCCAGTGAGTCAACTACATCACTGCTTACTGCCTGTAGGATTTTCGGTCGAATATTGTCTACTCCAGGAGAAATGTGGATACTCGGCGATAACAACTTCCTCAACAAAGCCTCGGCAGTAAACGTGATGTTGAATAGACCTGACGGTGGAGCAATGGCAACGAGGAGAATACTTGGGCTCGGTACCTGCTGGAACCTAAGGGAGCAATAAAACCGTGAGTGATCGTCTGCTTCTATTGCTTACTGTCTGCACGCATCAGCCGTGGCCACTGCTGGGATTCCGGGCTTCATCATGCGATGGTAGCTGACGTGTCTGTATAGGAGTTCACGGTTCGTGCAGAATCGCTTCATTAACTTCTGCTGCTTCGTCACTTCGTCCTCGCGGATCAGTTTCACACGGAAGTTACCCTGTGCCACGCATGCAGTCCAGTTTACGACATTAGGTCAGCCCTTTTGAGCTCGCCATGCTAAACCCCTCAACAACAT